TATTTAGTTGTAAGAGGATCAGCTTTAGTCACTGCTCTCAGGCCGGACTACTACACTCATCTTCAAAGCTGTCGCTTTTAGAAAACATTTTGAACCATCACTGCACTGCATGTTCATTACCAGTTCTGGAGCCAAATGTGCTGTGTGTGCCATGAGTTGCATTCTCTGCTTTACAACCCATTTTTACCTCAAATAAGAAAACTATTTAAATTTGCTTTTTGTATAATATTATTTCTAGTATAAAATCAATGTGAAGTAAGGAACAAAAATAAGCCATTAGCCAAATAACAAGGTGAGAAATGCACATTACAGCCAGGTGGTGGTGGTGCACGCCTTTAATCCCAGCACTTGGAAGGCAGAGGCAGGCAGATCTCTGTGAGTTCCAGGCTAGCCTGATCTACAGGGTAAGTTCCACACCAGGGCTGTTACAGACAGAAACCCTGTCAGAAGAAGAAGAAAGAAGAAGGAAGAAGGAAGAAGGAAGAAGGAAGAAGGGAGGAGTAGGAGAAGAAAGAAGGAAAAAAAAGGAAATGCACATTACAATGATGTAAACCAAAGGCCAGAAAGGTGGCTAAGCAGAAAAGGGTGCTGGCTATCAATCCTAATAACCTACATTCAATTTCAGGAACCCATATAATAGGAGAGAATCAATCTCCCAGGTTGTCATCTGACCTTTACACATGTGCTGTGTCCTAAATGCAAATACAAACATGCACACACATTAATACAATTAATTTTGCACTAGAATAGTAATAAAAACGCACACAAATAATTCTATTGATGACTATAGCAATTATGTATAATAACATCTTAGTCAATAACAGAATTTATATATAAGAATAATAGTCTCATGAGATAATAGTATCTGATAGTAGTATAGTCATCCGATTTGGGCAAGTACACCATCTGGATCATACAATGACAAAATCACTTAAGGACATCTTTTTCAGAATGTTCTGTGAAGTATAGCCCTATGAGCAGTTTCAAGTGCCACGAGTTGGCAGCTAGCTGCTTTCACTAGTCACTTTCAAAATGCTGACTAAGTAGTTTAGGTTAATATCCCCCCCCCAACATAATATTTTCATTGATTATTTGGGAATTTCACATAATGCACACCAATAACACTCACTTCTCAGTCCTCCAAGTTCCACAATTCCAGTTTCAGGAGTTCCAACACCCCTTTCCGGCCACCGTGGGCACAGGAACCCACATGGTGTACAGCAACCCCACCCACCCACCTCCATCCCGGTCCAAAAACAAGTCTAATTTGTGTTGTCCCTATGGTCAATGGAACATGGTCAAACTCTCCATGGCCAACCCCTTAAAGAAAACTGAGTCCTTCTCCACCCCCACCAGAAGCCACCAATTGTGGAGAGCTACACTTCAGCATCCTTATCTCAATTTTTAAGTTTTCTTGAATGGCTTCATGTCTAATCTGTTACTTTTTTCTTTTTGGGGGAGTAGGGATGAGGAGTTGAAGTAGGAGTTGTCATAGACACCTTCTACATCTCCCTTTCTCAACTGTGAGTCTGCAGTCATCAAAACCACTGCAAAAGAAGCATCCTTGCCATTTACAGTCATTGGGACCACAGAATATGGACTTCCTCATGGTTTCTGTCAACAGCACAACAACATCAACATAGCCTCCAGCTTCAGCATGTACCAAGGACCTCAGCATGGTCTCCAGTGGCAATACAGATCATGCATATCAACATGGCCCTCTGCTGCAGCATGAGCCACAGACACCTATTCTAGAATATTATTTTAAGATGTAGTTTATGCTGTGGAACATTTGTTTAATGATGCAAAGATGTGTTATAATCTTTCATTTTGCATTTGTTTAACACTGTGAAGTTGTGTTACTTTGCCTGTCTAAAACACCTGATGGTCTAATAAAGAGCTGAACGGCCAATAGTGAGGCAGGAGAAAGGATAGGTTGGGCTGGCAGGAAGAGAGAATAAATATAAGGAAGAGAAAAAAGCAAGAGAAGGAGGAGGACTCAAGGGGCCAGCCACCAACACAGCAAGCTACAGAGTAAGAAGCAAAGAAAGGTATACAGAAATAGAGAAAGATAAAAGCCCAGAGGTAGATGGGATAATTTAAGTTAAGAAATGCTGGCAAGAAAAAAGCCAAGGTAAGGCCGGGCATATATAAGAAATAATAACACTCCATGTGATTTATGTGGGAGCTGGGTGGTGGGACCTCCCAAAAGAGGAAAGAGTAAAAGCAAAAAGATCAACTATAATTTGGTGCCCATGTTGAGTGATTTTCCATGTAGGTCCTGAGAAAGCTAGGGGAAAAAAGAAAAGAAGAGAAAAGAAAAAAGAAAAGATGCAGCTCCTTTAAGAGGCACTGGTGTTCAGTTAGCAGGGCAGTGATAAGCAGAAACAGCAAGCTAAGTTAAAAAAAAAAAAAAAAACCTGTGTGGCAGCACAAGTTCAAGCTTCCATAGCTAGGAAGGTTGAATGCAGTTTTCGGTCACACACCTCTGACCAGGCAAAGAGCTTTAGGCTTGGCTTTCAGAATCAGAGAAGCAGCCACAGCCAGACAAGAGAGCCTTGGTAGAGGATCCAGGTGTAGCTTGGCAGTCTAAAGTTTGCTCATGTGGTCAAAAAAGGCTAAAAGATATGCAGTAAAAGAGATCGGGGGTTGGGGGAGAATTCTAAACAGATTTCAGTGTGTTTTACAATGTGCATAGGCTTAAGGAAGAAAGAAAAAGGGTATGGACAGTTATAGAAATGAACAAATAGTTTAGAAACAGTAAACTCTTTAAGAGATAGTAAAAGTAATATGAAGTTTAGAAATAGTAAAGTCTTTAAAGAGACAGTAAAAGTAATATAAAAGAACAAAACCACATAAGATGGAAAATACACAGAGTCTGAATCCTGTATGTTATTGTGCTGATTTTGATTTTTTTTTTTTTTTTTTTTGGATGCTGATGAGCAAAAGACAGCTGCTGATAGACATGAGATTAAAAGAGGGACAGCTGAAATAAACCAACCTATATACTTTAGGAATGTTTAACTTTAAAATGGAAGTAAAAAAAATATATTTGCTAAATGGAAGTCAAAGTGCTTTGGAGAAGAGGTTTTGCTTTTGTTCTCACAGGAAATGAGAGGCTACAGATTTGTTCCAGGTTAATATGGATCAGGTTGATCAAGGAAGACCTTGTGAAACTTGACAGGTTATATATATCAACACAGGCTACGGTTGGTCTTCCCAAGACTTGTCAATTATTTCAAAATTTCTCAGGGACCCCTAAAGATGCCTTTACCCACAGACAGCAGGAAGCAGCCTAGAGAAGATGATGCCCACATTCCCAAGAGGTGGGTTGGTACCTATTGGTTATTTGTTGGGTTATAGATGTTTGTTATTTAGGGGAATATAGAACAGAAAGAACAACTATTAATCTCAGACATTTTGCATTCGCATGTATTTTGGTATATTGATATAAATTTATAGTTAATTTTGTTATACTGTATATATGTTACGACTCTTGCTTGGGGGTATTGTGCTTATGCATTTCATTTAAAAATACAATGTATAAATAAGAATTGATGTTAGTAGTTAATCTATAATAGTCAAAGTTGTAGTCACATTTGTCATGTTTTCTAGGTTAAATAGGTATATTTTAGATAGATAAATAGTCTTCAAACACTTCAAAGACCTATAGAATATGGTATTTAAAATGTTTTGTTAACCCAAGGTTTTTCAATGACAATGAGACACATCTGCTCCTTACAGCACCAATTTACTTCATAAAAGGATGGTAGACATCAAAGAAACACCATAGGAGTTTGCTTTCCATGTGGCAAAGCTAGACACATGGGTAAGAAACTGATTTGCTTTGACTTCTGACAGTATGCTATATAAACTGGACATATAGAACACGCAGGAAAAAGACTGTTGACCTTTGACAAAAACAAGGCAGGACAGTCCTTCAAAATTCCTGCTTCATAGAACAGTCTGACAGATACTCTAGGCCTGTAGGCCGAAGATGGCCCCAATGTAGCAGAGGAACTTTGGGTGACTGTCCAGGCACCCAAATATCTCTGTTGTTAGGTAATATTATATCCTTTTGGGGTCTTTGATGGAGTTGAAGATTAGATAGTTATAGTTGCAGTTTTTCTTAGTTATGATAGAAAATAAATTAGGTATAAAACTTTGGATTCACTAAGATAGGATAGACAATGGAGTATTTTCTTTAAATTTGCCAGACACAATAAAACTGGACATTGTGAATGTAATCCTTACTTGATAATTGTTCTTATTGTAGATAGTATTACTACGTTTAAGTTAAAACCATTTCTTTTTATTTAGACAAAAGGGAAATGTTATAGAATATTAATTTAAGATGTGTTACATTTGTTTATGCTTTGGAATATTTGTTTAATGATCCAAAGATGTGTTGCATTCTTTTATGTTGCATTTGTGAAGCTGTATTATTTTGCTGTCTAAAACACTTGATTGGTCTAATAAAGAGCTGAATGGCCAATAGCAAGGCAGGAGAAAGGATAGGTGGAGGTGGCAGAGAGAATAAGTAGGAGAAAAAATCTAGGAAAAAGAGATCAGGAAGCAAGAAAGAGGAAGAGAGGAAGATTCCAGGGACCAGCCACCCAGCTACACAGCAAGGCACAGAGAAAGAAGAAAAATATAGAAATAGAAAAAGATAAAAGCCCAGAGGCAAAAGATAAGACAGGATAATTAAAGTTAAGAAAAGCTGGGTAGAAACAAGCCAAGCTAAGGTTGGGCATTCATAAGTAAGAATAAGCCTCCATGTGATTTATTTGGGAGCTAGGTGGCAGGCCCCTCAAGAGCCGAAAGAGGAAGTATGTCACTTCTGAGTCCTTAAGACTTCTAGATAAGGCCTGACATTCCCAGGAGCCCTGCTCTGCCCTTTGAATAGACTAGTCTGTCTGCAACATGAAGTCTTTTCTCCATGAAAGGAATCCAGACAGTCTGTGAATCTCTGCCCACATAGTCATTTCTCTTCTTTTCAGAAACTCCAAGGTTAGTAAGCTTTCAGTGCTCTGGACTGAGTAACCTATTTCTCAACTAGAAGAATGGGTATGTAGCAATTTGGTTTATTAATATCACTCTATAAACACTATATTTTGTACATTCTTCTGTACATATTTAAAAAAAGCTAGTAAGAAGCTTTAAGCACTAGTTAATTCTCATATAAATATACATATAGATTCCTACGTATCCCATCCATTTTCTATTATTGATCTCTTCTGTATCTCAGTGACCCATTTTCTAGAAAAACCTATTCTGACCATCAAAGTCAGAGGCCCACTGTAAGATGACATAGTAGTCTTACTACTAGCAATCACTATTTAATATGATTTATTTCAGCCATAAACCTTTATATTTATCTATCTGAGTATCTTTCTCAACTGTAGCCCTCATGAAGAGCTGTAATTTTATATTTGCAGTATTTAGAACATTGCCTGGCATGATATTCTTTCTTTTTTCCAGTCCTCTTCTGCCAAGAGGTATATGTGCTCTTAACAGTTGAGTTATCCCTTCAGCTCTGACTGTGCTGCTGAGTGAAGGAAAGAATTAATGAATAAATATCACTCATCTTGCTATACTGAATGTCTTTCTTGGACCTTTGGAATGTCCTCTATGCCTTAGTCTTTAGTCAAAAACTTAGGAAGAAATTTAACTTCTGCACTCCCATAACTTCTGAGACTCCATATCATTAGCGGTGCTCCCCATTTTTCTGCCTTAGCAGAGAAAACCTGGCTCATTGCCCCATTACCCTGAACAAAGCCTAAGAGTACCAAAGGTCTTCAAAACTTCATAGGGCAGGCTTATGAGGTAGTAGAGACTCATGGTACTCAACTGTCACCTTTTGATCTGAAAGAATTTAGCTGATTATCACTCATTCTTAATGGTCCATCTGTGATAAGTATTCACTAACTTACCACACAAACATTCTATATAGTTCAAAGATCTTGCATATGTGTCTTTCACTGAATTCTCAAAACATATTTGCAATTATTTCTCTGTAGTTTCTTAGATTTTTGAATGCACACCATGTATGACATATTTTTGTAATAAATGCTTGACATAAAATACACAGACTTTAGCCAAGGCTACATAAAGAAACCCTATCCTGAAAAAACAAACACCAACTAACCAACCAACCAACCAACCACAGACTTAAATATCAGGACACTTTTCCAAATCACTTTAAAGGTTTCAAGAGCTGTCTTATACATCTTTCCTTGACACAAACCATACATACCTGAATTCCTTATAGATATGATTAAAAGCAAGTGCTGCACCTAGCCTCTTGAAAGCATTAGGATGAAGTGCAAGGCTGTAGAGCCGCTTGAAAAGTGACTTGCTGTTTACTGGGCTCTTCTCTTGCTGCTGAGGTGTTGTCTGCTTAATGGACCATTTGAGGAATTCTCGAATACAGCATCCACAAAAGTCTCTTAAAGTACTGTCAATGGGGTCCACAATACCATCCTTAATCAAAATAAAGACAGCTTCATTGTATTTATTCTTGTACCCATGGAACGATTAATGGTGGTTCTGTGTGAGTATATATGCCAATATTCAGGAGGTTAAAGGGAAAAGGCTGTGAGTTTGATGCTAAGCTATGATACAGAGTAAGTTCCAGACCAGCCTAGGCTAATAGCCTGAACTATAGAACTTAACTTTAAAAAAAAAAAGAACCATCCAGTGACTCTTCACTGCCCATAACTAGGCATATGATCTGGGTGAATCTGAGAATAAAGGTGGTGATTAGAATGCCTGATTGCCCTAAACAAACTGGGATGTATAATTGTACTCTATGTTCTGCACAGCAGAATGGTAAAACAAGAGTCCTCATAGATATACATTACTTCTTCCCTGATGTTCTCGCCAACTTCCATATTTTTGCTGGGTCCAACTTCATAGAAAATGTTACAGAGATGCAAAATAAAATCAGTAAAAAAGCATGCAAGAACAAAGACTTAAAGGATGTTTGGACAAGCTCACTAGGTATTTTACTGGAACTTTTGTTATTGTGTTTATTTATTTATTTTAATTTTTAAAATTTAATATAATTTTAATTAATTAATTAGTTAATTAATTAATTTTTGTTTTTCAAGACAGGGTTTCTCTGAGTAGCCCTGGCTGTCCTGGAAATCACTTTGTAGACCTGGCTAGCCTCAAACTTGGAGATGCGCCTGCCTCTGCCTCCCAAGTGCTGGGATTAAAGTTATGTGTAGGGTCCTGTGTAGCCTAGGCTTATATGGCACTGCTATGTTACTGACTGGCATTAAACTCAAATCTCCCTGCTCTACTACTAAGTGTTACAATTACAATTACAAATGTGTGCCAGGTGATTTTAATGTGATACAAATGTGTGCCAGGTGATTTTAATGTGAACATGTAACTCCATCTCCCCCATAAAATAATACTTAAAGGAATCATAAGTTATTCCTACAAGTACAAAATTAAAATAAATATGCATCAAAACCCACGACAGCTTATCTTACTGAACCAGTAACTAGACCCTAATGACTACCTCTACTACCTCAGGAAGAGTATAATATAAAAAGTAAACTGTTAGACTCCACACCCTTTAGTTAATGGATCTGAATGTAAGAGAAAATTAAATAAATTAAAAGTTCCCTTTACTCTTGAATTAAATACTGCACCACGGATTAAAAACAAACAAACAAACAAACAAAAACAACAAAAAATCTAAACTACTGTTATTGATAAGGAACATTTTTACTGCTTATACCCACAACATACACCACACATTCTTTCTCTCTTATACCCTTAATGTATATAAATTTTTAAACTTCTAGCCACTCAGAAAGAAGAATAAAAATACATGTTAACTCAAATTTAGTTATAGATATTATCTATGTCTCTTATGGCTGGGCAGTGGTAGCACATGTCTTTAATCCCAGCACCAGGGAGGCAGAGGCAGGCAGATTTCTGTGAGTTCAAGGCCAGCCTGGTCTACAGAGTGAGTTCCAGGACTGACAGAGCTATACAAAGAAACCCTGTCTCAAAAAACAAAACAAACAAAAAAAGAATATCACTTATGAAAATGAAAATAAATATGGCACTATGTTCACAAAAGATAATAGTTTAGAGAAAGGCTATATTTTGGTATGTTAACAAGGAACTTTTCCTAAAAATCTACATGTACACTAAATTTCTGCAGTCAATTGGAATGAAAAGTTAAGAACCAAATATTACTTACCAGTATGGTTTCTAGTAAGGCAACAGTATCTTGACTTTCAAATTTCTTATTGTTAGTAAACCAGTGAATCAGCTGCATAACAAGCGGTTCATAGAGCTGCCTTGTCACCTAAGAGACAATTTCTAATGTAGTTTACATCCTTCATGAGAGTAAATGTACACTGAAAATTAAACATTTAAATGGCACTTTCAATAAAGCAAGATAAAGCAAAGCTACAATTATTTAATTAGATTTTTTTTTTCTAGTTCAGATCCATGATGAACAGAGTCTAAGAGTCCATGAAAGGAAAATACGCATACTAAAGCTCATTGTCCATCTAACTAGGAGAACAATTTAAGATACTGTTAGTATAATTTGTGTCAGGGTCTAGCTGTGTGAGTCTGCCTAATCCTCCCATTTATGAGCCCTCTTTAAAATCCAAGATCTAGCCTAGGACCATGCCATCCGCAACTGACAGATTCGCAACTGACAGATTCCTCACACACCATATATAGTCTCTCTGTTCAGTCAGGTCCTGCACCTCTTGGACCCTTCCATATACCTTACCTAATCCCCCAGATCTATTGCTGGTGGCCAAGTCTAGTTTGGATAATCCTACTTGCCCTACCCACAACCTTAAGGTTCCATCCAGGACCCTGTGCTGCCCACCAACTGTATGACAAACAACTTCTACCAGTCAGTTCCTACAATCTTACCAGATGAGTTTGCCTGATCCTCCCTTTTACCCACTCTCCCTAGCACCACAAGTCTAGCCTGGGATCCATATCCAGTACCCTTGTTGAGACTGGGCAGCCCTGCCTGAGCTACCCACAACTGATAGACCCCTTGGGCAGTAACCTCCCCCACCCTGAAATCCATCAGTCCTATAGAAATGTTCTCCAATGAGAATTGCCTATATGAACTCTAGGACACAGAATTTAAAAGAACAATCATAAATTTCACCAAAGGAATCAAGCAGCTGAAAGAAGAAACAGCTAAAACAAACAAACAAACAAACAAACAAACAAAACAGAAGCAAAAAACACCAAACCAACAACAACAACAACAACACTACCAAACTACCCTTAAGATTGATTGAAATGACAAGGAGATAATCTAGGATTTGAAAGCTGAATTCAACCAGGAGGCAGAAACATTGAAAAACTCAAACGGAAATGAAGGGGTGGAAAAACCCAATAACCCAACTAGAAAACTCAAAAGAACACCTTGCAAGTAAAATAAATCAAGCAGAAGATAGAATATCAGGTCTCTGAGAGAAAGTAAAGAAACTAGACCTAATAAGCAAAGACTGAGCAAAAACTGAAAAGAAAACAGAACACACACATAGAGGAAATGTGGGACATCATGAAAAGACCAAATCTTTGAATTTTAGGCATAGATGAAGAAGAATCCCAGGTCAATGGCATAGATCAGATCTTCATGAAGATGATAGGAGAAAAATGGAAGAAAATGTCACCAAACTAAGGAATGATACATCCATAAAGACACAGGCACAAAGTCACCAAATAGGTACAGAGGAATAGCACACAAAACAGTAAATAGACAAGATCAAAAAAGAAACTCCTCGCTGGAGAGATAGCTCAGGGGTTAAGAGAACTGGCTGTTCTTCCAGAGGTCCTGAGTTCAATTCCCAGCAACCACATGGTGGCAGAAAACCATCTGTAATGAGATCTGGTGCCCTCTTCTGGCCTGCAGGGATACATGCAGGCAGAACACTGTATACATAATAAATAAATCTTAAAAAAAAAAAGAAAAAAAAAGAAACTCCTCATGACATAGCATAGTTAAAACACTAAGTATTTAGAGCTAAAAAGTACTGAAAGCTGCAAGAGAAATAAATCATCAGAAGAGCAGCTAATTTCTCAAGGGAAACACTGTGGAGAAGGCACTCCAAGTCCTAAATGACCCTGATTGCTAACCTGCCAGTGAACCCAGAAAAACTATCTGTTCCCATTCCCAGGAGACTAAGCAGATTCCTGGTAGAACACCCTGCCTTCCTTCCTCCTGTGGAGCACTCACAACCCCCACCCCACCCTCAAGCCCATCTCCATTCCTAAGCATTAATTCCCAATCTCCAGACACACATTTTATTAGGAGGCTCCAGTAGCCACACTTAGGACCACAGAAGAATTTCCTACCAGGTAATACAAAACCATGACACTCTCCTAAGACCCAAAGAAAGAAATGGAAACCAAAGAACAAAATAGCCACCCAACAAAGACAAGACTAGTGGTGTAGCCATTTAATAGACTTCAAACCAAAACCCAATCAGAAGAGACAGAGAAGGATACTACATAATCATCAAAAGAAAAATACACCAAGAGGACATTGAAGTTCTTAACATCTATGCATCAAACACAAGGGCATCCAAGTTCATAAAAGAAACACAGTGATAGTGGGAGACTTCAATACAGACAAAAAATTAAAATGGGAAAGGTTGAGTTAACTGATGTTCTAAATCAAATGGATGTAACAGATACTTACCAAACACTTCACCCAAACAAAAGAATATATCTTTACAGCACCTCATGGAACTTCCTCCAAAACTGACCACATACTCAAGACACAAAGCAAGTATGCACAAATACAACACCCTGCATCCTATCTGACCACCATGGATTAAGGCTGGATATTAACAGAAACAACAGAAAGCTTACAAACTCATGGAAACTGAACAACTCTCTATTGAATAAAAAAAAATGGGTCAAGACAGAAATTAAGAAAGAAACCGAAGTCTTTCTAGAAGTGAATAAAAATGAATATACAACATTCCCAAACCTACAGGATACAATGAAGGCACAATCGACTGAAGCCTCAATCTTTACTGAATGAGCATGAGGATTACCTCCAGTGTTTGATCAGTCTCAAATTCAGATTTTCTGAAGGGAAAATGCAGTCCTTACATTTGGAATTTACCTTGAGGACAGTTAAATGCTAGAGGTGAGAGCATGTTCTAGAAGGCAAGTTCATAGCACTATGTGGCTACTTATAAAATTGGAGCTCTCATACTAAGCACTTAACATCACACTTGAAAGCCCTAGAACACAAAGAAGAAAGCACATCCAAAAGGAGCAGACAGTAAGAAATAATCAAATTCAGAGCTGAAATCAATAAAATAGAAACAAAGAAACAAAAATACAAAGAATCAATGAAACAAAGAGTTGATTCTTTGAGAAAACCTAGTAAGACTGACAAATCCTTATCCAAATTAACTAAAGGACAAAGAGAAAATATCCAAATGGACAAAATTAGAAATAAAAATAAGGACACTGAGGAAATCCAAAGAATCATAAGGACTTACTTGGAAAATCTAAAAGGACATAGATTGGAAAATCTAAAAGAAATGGATAATTTTCTCAATACGTACCACTTAGCAAAGTTAAATCAAGATCAGATAAACAACTTAAAAGGACCTATAATGACTAGTGAAATAGAAGCAGTAATTAAGTCTCCCAACCAAAAAAAAAAAAAGCTCAAGCCCGATGGTTTTAGCAAAGGACTCTACCAGACTTTCAAAGAAGAGTTAATGCTAATACTCCTCAAATTATCTCATAAGATAGAAACAAAAGAAACACTGCCCAGTTCATTTTAAGAGCCACAGTTATCCTGATAACCAACCACATAAAGACACAACAAAGAAAGAGAATTACAGACCAATTTCCCTTAGATAGAAACAAAAATTCTTAATAAAATCTTGCAAAACAAATTCAAGAACACATCAAAAAGATCATCAAATGTAATCACATAGGCTTTATACCAGAAACGCAAAGATGGTTTAACATACATGAATCAATAAATGTAATCTACCATATAAACAGATTGAAAGACAAAAACTACATGATCATTAGATGCAAAAAAGGCATTTGATGAGATCCCATATCTCTTTATCATAAAAGCCCTGAGAAACTAGGAATACAACGACACATCTCAACATAATAAAGGCAATGTACAGCAAGCCCACAGCCAACATGAATCTAAACAGAGAGAAACTAAAACCATTTCCACTAAATCAGGAGCAAGCCAAAGTTGTCCACTCTCTCCATACCTAGTCATACAGTACTTGAAATCTTAGCTAGATCAATTAGGGTATATAAAATGGAAAGGAAGAAGCCAAAGTATCCTTATTTGCAGATGATATGATTTTATACATTAAAAAAAATAACAACACTAAAAACTTCACTAGGAAAGAAGTTGACAAACATTTTTAGCAAAGTCACAGGATACAAAACTTACACACAAAAATCACTAGCCTTCCTATGTACAAATGACAAACTGAAAGAAATCAGGGAAACAATACCTTTAACAATAGCACCAAAAAATATAAAATAATCTTGGGGTAACTTTATGCCAGCAAGTGAAGAACTTGTATAACATAAAAAAAAAAAAAAAGGACACTGAAGAAAGACGTTTCAGAGATATGACAGGATGGAAAGGTCTCCTATGCTCATGGATTAGTAGGATTAATATAACTGCCATCCTATAAAAAGCATTTTGCAGATTCTGTGCAATCTCCACCAAACTTCCAACACACTTCACAGAAATTAAAAGGATAATTCTCAGCTTCATGTGAAAACACACACACACACACACACACACACAAAAAAAAAAAAAAAAACACAAAAAAAAACAAAAAAATATTAGGGGAGCAAAGACTGTACCTAAAAAG